AGTGATCTGTCCAGAGGCAGCAAGCTGCCTGAGAGCAGTGTGATGTGGTGTTGAAAGGATATATGGCTTACATGTGAGTACAACTGTCCTCAGAAGACAGCCCACACTGAGATTCTCTCTATACAGAAACAGACACCCCAAATCTCACCCTAGTGATAACCATGGTTCTGTATCTCATAATTTGACTGAACTACCAGTATTACAAACCCATTATTATCTTTAAACTGAGTATTACTTACACAAAATATGGAAGTGTAACAATTCAGCTCCAAGTACAATCTATTCAGCTTACTTGAGTCATTTTCAAAGCTGTCAGTAAAGCACACGGCTGAATGACTATTCCTAGCTGAACCTCAGTTTTGTTAAGCTGATCAGAAGCAATTAATTGGACACCATCCAAACGGGGTTTTGATTTCAAAGGTAATAAAAAACTTTTTAAGTAGCATTAGGAGGGTTTTTCATTTTTCCCTTTAGAACTGTATGATTTTCTCTCCAAATCACAAACACTGTTTTGCAGACTTCCCTCTTCCCCCCCTCCAAAATAGCTCCCACTTGTCAATTTAAAAAATGGGCATAAAACCAGCCGAGGGAGCATAAATGCCTGAGAAGTTTTCAGGCAACATCTACGTAAACAATTATTGTTGTCTTGTTTTCATTTCTAGGCAACAGATCCTCAGAGACACATATATCACACGCAGACAATATCTGGACAGCCTTCCAACCCCTCCTCTCCAGATTATAACAGTCTATATTTTCTCCATGTATAAAGGAACAATATTTTACAGATTGCAAATAAAAGATATTTTAATTTGGAAAATAATATTTTTAATGACTCTATTGAGTAATTATCTAATGTCAGAAATTCAAATCCTGTTTGAAAAGAACTTCAGATTCCTGACCTTCAATCTGCAGTACATGTTTAATACAGTCTAGAGGCTTTCAAACTGAGAGAAGCACATAATTAATAAATAAATACACAGTAATTAATATTTGCCTTTTGTGCTATGCAGTGGGTCAGGGCTGTCAATGTTTTTGGTACTTTCCAAACAAATCAAACCCACTGATCTTGTTTAATCTCAGAAAAAAAGGCAGTGCTTTGTGTTTTCATAGTATTTTGTTATTTTCAAATCTCTAATCCCTAATTGATCCTACAGTTCTTGAAGCAAATCCCTGTATTTCCCTCATAAATACTCTCCCAGGATGTGGTCATTCTGCATCATTTTGAAGGTGTTTGTTTTTTTCTCTTCAGCCAAATAAGGGTAGAAATCATCACTCTGATAGCTTTTCACCAGTTTGAAGGCCTTCTACACCTTGCTGGGCAGTTAAAGTTGAATCTGTCTCTAACACTAGGGGGATTTTTGCCACAAGGAATTTGTTTCTTACACAAAACTAAAGCGTTGCCAGCATTGGTGGTGAGAATGCTGCTTGGTAAAAAGTGATTTGTGGAGATTAGCATTATCAAGTAAATCACAGTTCTCTGCTTCTCACTACAAATTCTGTGCAACCTGCTTTAGTGTAAGGGATGCGGGCAGCACATAGGTATTGTCCTGCGTTCCCAGGTGTTTTAGGGATCATGACAAGATCACAACTAACTCTGGAAAGCTTGGTTTAATCCTTGAGTGCCCAGCTAACAGTGGGGTGTCCATCAGAGTACTTTCATAGCCACTGTATGGTCAGGTGGAAACAGTCTGAATATTCATGAATCTCACCAGGAAAATGGGAGTTCATTCATTCGTCATTCTACACAGTGTATTTTTGGACACTTCTGAACAAGAGCATAGGCAGAGTACAACCTAGTACCTGAGAACGCCTGAAGACAGACTTTCTTTGCAAAAAGAAGGCAGCTGCAACACCAAAATTGCATCTGTTTGGAAAAGAATACTGCGTTATCTAAAAGCACTTCAGTGCACGATTTGTACTAGAATCTACAAAAGACTGTAAGCAAAACTATTCTAGGAATTTGAATAGCTTCTCACAGATTTTCAGATTCCTGAAGTTTTTATCTGAAGTGCCAAGTTTCCCTTCTGAAGAAGGATGCTGTGCAATATTAGAGATCTAATAAAAGTCAATTAAAGACTAATGACATCCTGAGCTTGTGTCTTCTGAATGCGCTGTTACAACTTCTAGGATCATCTCCTCCAGCCCCATCACTTAATCCAAGGGCAATTATAAACCTCATCCAGGGATCACATTATGAGAAGCCACCATATGCCTCCATATAGATGAGGGGTGTCTGGACAGCACAGCCATGGACTCTTAGGCAGCTTGGGATGAAGGAAGGGAAAGAACCATGGATAGGATGCGTGGAAAGATCCAGGCTTCTCTTCAAACATCACTAAGATTTCCTTCTGAACATATACCTGGACTTTTTACTAATGAGTATCCTAGTCCTTCAATAAACACCTATGTGAAAAACCTCATGTGGATTTATATAAACAGTACACAATCAACTATAATTTATGTGGTTCTAGCCTCAACATGCTTCTCTCAAATGACTGCTGGTGGATCAGAAGCAGAACCAAAAGCAACAGGTTCACTTCAGCAGTCAGCGGAGCCCAGTGCAGTGCTGAAGCTGGCCCATCAGGCCAGGCTGGGGAGTGCATGTGGTTTGCAGGCCAGTCCAGCTCTGCAGGCTCAGCCGACTCACCAGCAAGCAGGCTAACTTCACCTTGGAAAACAGCAAGAGCTAAAGTGACTTCTGAGGTCAGTGTAATTTAAGCTTCTAAATGAGGCTCTTCACACTCAGCAAAAAGATTATTCAAAGGAAGGAATTTGCTGTCTTACAAGTGCTTTCTAAAAGACAATAATTTAAAGCAATCTCCCTTCTTCTTTACAAATCACGTTATTTAAAAACTGCAGTTCACATCTGAAACCCCTGACAAGTCATTTCCCATACCAAACACCGCCTGAACTGGCAACTTGTGGTGTTTGTTCCAGATACAGAGTCAGCAAACCCAGACCATTTTATAATGACAGATCCTGGCTGTTGCTGCTGCTGATTAAGGCATTCAGATGCTCAGCCATTCGTATTGAAGGGAAGACAAAAACGTTATTAGAGCTTTTTCATTTATTACAGGCAGAGTCCTCCAACAGCTGAGTGAAGCGCTTACACATACAAATATGTTGAAAATGGACAGATATGAACTCATCAAAAATAATCTTTCAGAACCTTTCAGGAAAAAAAATTAAGGATTATAATACAGATTCAGAGTAAGGCCCTATCACATTTATCTTTGAAGTGAGCTCATAACTTGTATTTAAGTTCAGCATCACTCAGGAACCTTTCCTCAAGCCCCAGTTCTCTCAGCTAGTGTATCGACCTCATATAGTACCTTGTTTTCCAGTACTGCAAATACATAATACTGTATCCAAGTAGTAACAACAAAGTGGTTTAGCCTTCAAAAGTCCATTTGTTCTGCAAAAGGCGCACTATTAAGACAATAAATGTATTTAAGAAAATAGTTATAACTGCCATATTGCAGCTTATTCAATTTCACTGGGCTAATTGTGTAACTTAAGTAAAAAGTGTGAACAAAATATTGCCCCTAGGCACAGTATTTGGGATTAGTTTTTGGTGCTGGGAATTTTTACATGTTTCACAGCAAATATTAGCCGCAGTTGTTGAACCACAGTAGAGGGATCCAGGCTTCCCTTAGGCACTGACCTCTCTCCCAACCAATACAGAACAGCAGTGCAAAAAAATCAAACAGCTCCTTTGCCACCTAGCCAGAAGCCAGCTTTAAAAGAGCAGCACAACCTTCTCCTGTGGAAAGATGTCATTTAACCCCCGCTGCAGCTCCACTTGAGGAACACCTTCCCCATTCCTATTGTGATCTGCATATGAAACATGCTTCCACTTTGCTTTTATTATTGTAACAGCTCAGCCTATAGTTTGCGTTTTATAGAGATGCAGAAAAATAGCACTCTATGCTGAAGTCCTGTATTCTGCAGCTAGCAGCAGCACACATACACAAAGTCAAGATTACTTCCTGACACAAGCTCACACTCGGTGCATTTCCCAGTTCACACAGTGTAATGCTAAGCATTCTGGGGAACTCATGAACCTTGTAGAAAACCAGGTAAACAATCAATCTGTATTTAGGCATATTTAAGCTCTTCAGTGCCAACTGCCCTACCTTATTTGTACAGTAGCACACTGGGCATTTAATTTCACAGCATCTGTTTAAAATAGTCGTAGAATTGCTGGTTAAAACCTTCAGGGCTTTATTAATTTTGTTGCTTCCACCTGTGAGTAGATGAATAGTTGTTAACACTGTGTGTCTGGGAAAACAAGGACTTGAAGTTCCAATTAAAAAACCACCACCCACCCCTCCCCACACAGAGAACAATGAAGTTCACTTTTCCATACAGCATTTGTATGGCAACAGTTATATAATTTTAAAATAATGGTACCAAAATTATGAAGCTTCATTTTACAGATACTAAAGATGGATGAATACAGATGTAGTTCTCAAGTACTGTACAGATTTTTGCCAGCTAAAGACACAAAGATAATGGTAGTAGGCTAAAGTTATGCTGTATGTAAACTCTAGAAACTGGAAGAGACCAATTTAAGTAGTTGTCGATCATCATGTTTCTTCTGATAATTGCTACAGTATTGTGGCATCAAAAGAATCAGATCTAACTGCTAGCTGCCAGCACCACGTCTAACAGACCTGAAAGTTCCACATCGATTTGAGTGTTAGTAGTTATCCAGTGAGTTCTGTCAAAGACAACCCAACACATCTCAGTAGACTGATTAGACTATGTAATATTTTTATAAGCTTATTTTATTTCTTTGCTGTACAAAGGCAGAAATGCAAACTATCTCAACAAATCTACATCAGTAACTACACAGACATGGTACAGATATATACAAAAAGCTGTTACTTAACTTCAGTGTTCATACCACAGGTCACATAGTTCATACCACTCCTGCATGGAGAGCTGGATGCAAACAATGCAAACAGCATCTACATCGCGTTCCTTATAGTGAAGGCTTCTGATACACCAGTTCTTTATTACACTCACATCCAACAATCCTGCTTAGTAGCAGTGCAACCTCAGAACTGAAAAGTGCTTTTATTATATACATTCTCACAAGGATTGTGGATCCTTCCAAATATTGTCATTTTTAGAAGTAATTAATTGCCTATGTTTTCCTTCAATTATTTCATAAGCTAAAAATACCATTTTCCCAAAGGTGTGTAGATTACATGCAATTATGAAAACAAAGCTCCTAAAAGCAACTCTAGGAACTGGCCTCCTTTGACTTGGGAAGATGAGCAATCCTGTGAAAGCACTTCACTTTTGAACATTTCAGGTCAGTAAGTTTGCAGATCCAAGCAGCTTTGGAGCAGCTCTATAATACAGATATTTACATTTCCTGTTAGGTTTTTGAGTTGTAACTAATCTGTCAGCTCAGGTGGTTTTTCTTCTTCCCCCAGGGATCTCACTTTGAAAGGAAAGTAAAAAAAAAAAAGGAGTATGATTAGTGTTGCTGTAGGAAATAAAAGTGAGCCATTTTTCAAGCAAAATAAAGTAAAAAAAAGACCACCAAAAAAAAAAAAAAAAAGCTTAAGACTAAAAAGTGAGGTCTTCCCCTCAACTATAAAGCAGCACTGCTAAAAATAATTTATCTTTTGTGTTCTGAGCTACTGCAATTCCTGCCATGTTTATTTTTAAATCACAACATCCTGCAGCACTGGGGCTCTTGAGGGACAATATTCCAGCCAATCTTGGTTCAGGAGATCAAAATACCACCTCCCATCTGTTGGCCCTCCCTTAGACAGGGCAGCAATGAGCAAGAGCAGCACACTCTCTTGTTTGAAACAGCATCTTAGTTCTTATGGCAACTGTATCAGCGAGCTGCTGGACTCCGCAGTGAGGCAGCCGAGAACTGACACACACTGTTCCATCTGGAGAGCACAGCTCAGGCAGGAAACCAGTAACAAGCAAAGGAAGAAAAGGGTCAGAGTAGAAGAGTGCGTTGCTGCGTGTGCACATGCCCTGTGCTCTGACCTCCTGCTGCTGTGAGCCGACCCAACAGTACAGAGTCCTCTTTTAGGCATCTCACTTACTCCTACACATCTTGGTCATAAACTATGCTCAGAAAATTATACCTGTGCAGTACAGTCTTCAACTTTATCAGAACGGTATGACCATCTTTAAAGAAAATATTAGATGGGGATAAAAGTGTAACTCAAGGACACTACCTTCATCAGGAGGACCTGCGGGCTCAGTTTCAGAAGTGACTGTATCTGTATCTTCAAAAGTTTTGGCACCTGGCTTCTCTGGTTCCACCTCACACAGATACACATCAATAGGTCCTTTCGTGCTCTTCACATGTACCGCTATGCAGTCCTACAAAACAGCAACTTGTGTAAAATTTGTTCTTTAGTCTATATGCATCAGTTATCTATTTCTGCATATATATCAAAGCCAGTGGATGAAGAATAAAGAATGCCATTACCACTTAAAATTTCATTACAAGTGCTACATAAATTATGACTATTACATAGATTTGCAGGCAGATTATTAAGCACCATCAAGTTAAAAAGGTTTCACTTTGGATGAACATGCACTTAATGAATCTATTTAGTCTTTTTACAGACCTTTAGATATATGACCAAAATTTACAACATGCTTAAGAAGAGTAACAAAATTTGACAAAATACTTGACAAGTCAGTGCCACGGGTCAGAAAACAAATGAGCACACAGCGCCTTTCATAATATGGCAAAGCAACAGAACTGGATTACTTTTACTGTTCTTCAGTAGATGTCACATTGCAAGGGACACAGCTAATCAAATTTAATGGACCAGAGAGAAGATTCTCTTCTCTCTAAAATACAGCTTTTTAAATGCTGCCTTCTTTTGCTTCAGGAAGCCTCTGAAATCTTGTCATTTTCCATCTTCATAGGATGACAACCAGCTCCTTTTACAGTGAAACCCCTGGAGATCTATGCAGTGGATCTACATCTTCTGGTTCTATTGATTCGTATCTCCTTTTCCTACAATATTACCTCCCTTTCTGTGCACACAGCAAGGCAAATTTGATGACTACACAATTAAGAACAGTATAGAAGATGCACGCACACAAGGAAACCAGAATTAAAGCTGCTTTTTTTTTAGCTTACTTACAGTATTTCCTCTCTTTCACAGCACTCCTTTAAAGAGTGTGTTCCCAGTACATTATCCCTGATGCAGCTGCAGTGTGACTGGGTGCAGAGGTCAAAGCTAAGGCTCCCCTGCATGACCCAAGTGGGAGGATGTGGGTGGTACCATGAGGTGAGGATGGTGAGTGGCCCTCAAACTCCAAGAAAAATCTATCTTGACATGATCTATTAGAGTACCAAAAGATTTTCTTTTGGTAACCATACTGTGCATTTCATACTTTATTATTATACTAACAATAGCCATCTACTCATTAAGCATTTCTACGCTGTTAAGATCATTATCAAGTCAGGCTTACTGTTTTGCTTAGTGAGATTTACAGTATTTGTAAATGTTAGCATACAAACATTTACCAGCTCTTCAGAAGTTTCATTATCCTAGTAATTATCAAGCAAACTGGTAGTGGAAATAAGTAACTTTTATTACAGCTGGTCCATTCTCTCTAGAAAAAAACATATAACTAAAGCTCAGACATGTTGTTTAACAATTTAGGTGAGCAGAAAAATACTGCAAATTAGTTTCTTGGACTACCAGCCCTACAGCATTATTTAGTGAAACAAGAACAATGAAGTACCAATATTTGCTATATGTGACAAAGAAACCAGAAAATAATTACTGAATGCTGCTGCAAAAATCACATTTGAGAAATTCTGTTCCCTTAAGAGAGAAATGTGCAAAACTTACTTCTTTAGGAATTGGTATTTCCAACTTGGTTTCCTCTGGAGCTTTGATTGCAATCACAATCTGTTCTTGAAATGTCTGAATGCTACGGATATCCTGGTATGTCACATAAGCTAGTGTATACATTGGTCAAGGATCCTGTACAGTAATTTGCTAGTGGGCAGAAGCAAAGAGTATGATATTAAGTTGATATTCTGCTTCAACATATCTTAAGAAAAGCGGTAAATAGTTCAGCTGAGGTTACTTTAATACCGGCTTTCTAAAACTATTAGCTAACAAGTGGAAAATCTTTTTTCTTTATTTATAGGAAGGAAAGAGCTTTAAAAAAAAATGAAAATATTCAATATTAAGAAACCACACATATTTGATAAACAGTTTTCACAGATATGGTCATTAAGTATACAAAGCAGAGGGAATACTGTCCTTGGGAAACTACTTTGTTTTGTAATAACTATGCACATAAACAATTCCCTAGAAAACTACCGGATTCTTGTCTTAACCAAGATAGGTAAGGGGTAATGAAAAGTTTTCCTGGTATCATACAGAAAATGGGCACGTTTCATTTGAGCACAGGCCTTAACATTCTGCTACATAAGGTAGCCAAAGAGCATCTTATTGTAAGCCAAGCCAAAAATCCAGTGTTTATGTCATATTAAAAGAAATGCCTTTTCAATTATCAAAGCCCATCTGAAAGACAAGACTGCACTGGAACCACTCTCAAGAGACAGAACAGTATTAGGACACAACCAACGTACCATTGTATCTTCTTGGGAACTGGCCACTGGGACTCTGTTTTGGGTCCTCTTTCTCATCTCACTAAGCAACTCAATCTCACTGGTAAGTCAAGACCTGACACATAGTCAGCTTTATTCTATAATGGAGAGAACAAGTTGATGGTCAGGGTACTAAGACTACTGCCCCACTTCCATTCTTCTGCAGTGGAAAGGTCACACAAGTACGAGCTCCCTGAGAACAGGCTAGATTACGTACGATACTGTAAAGCAGGGCACCTGACTAGTATGCACCAATACAACATAACCACAAGGTTTCCTAGTGTAAAAACTCATTATCAAGTATTACTGCACACCTGTGGTACCAGCCTACAGTTATTACTAGATACCCAAGTACTTGCAACAGAAACCACGTTAAAGTAATGCAAGAGATAAAAGGATATTTTGCATTTTCTTTGTCATCTGTTAGTTCAAATAACTGATGAGCACAATCCTTGATTAAATCATCCAGAGCTTCTTCCATGGCTGACAAGTCAGAAAGTTCATCTTTAAGTGTTTGCGGCTCTGGTGCTTTTCCAACAACTCGGTCAAGACTAGAACCTCTAGAAAAACATGAAGTTGTCTAATATGTTTATATAAATAAGAGCCTGTTTATTGAATACAAAGTATACTAACAGAAACAACCAGGAACTCTGGGATACTTTGCTGAAATATGCTTCAGTGTGCTTTTGCACTTGATAATTGTTAGCACAGTAATTAAGCTTAAGGATACAGCAGAACTTAAAATATTGTTATATATTAAAGGTAATTCAGTATGCTTAAAAATACTATCAAAGGTATAAACATTACTCAATGTTGTTGGGTTTCATTCTTTCAGAAATCAGAAGTTTCAAAGCCAACTCACACCCACTGGATAAGATTCTTAGATCTTTTCTGAATTAAGTGGATTCCATCCAACACATTGGTGATGTCATACACTCTTCGTTTTCGTACTCCAAGTGTTGTTGCTACTTCATTTAAATCAAGAACACCGTCTGGAGCTGTTTTGACAAGATCCATGAATTTTCGGGTCAAATAAACCAAGGATGCATCAAATCGAGGCTTTCTGACTTTCACAGCTCCTGTAAAGTTTTGATAGAATACTTACGGTGAACTACTATACAAGGATGCAGCACTCCTTAAAAAGAAAACAATAATGATGAAGTAACAATGAAGATAAGAATCTGAAAGCACTGTAATTATTAACACTGACATTGTAAAGGCATCATATAAAGCCTATTAGCAACATGTACTTTCACTTGTGTGCAATGATCCTGTCTAAATAAGAAGCATGCATCTTCATGCTTCCAACATCCATGACTTCAAACTGCTGGTATGGGTATTAATAGCTGTGTAACTGTATGTTCTGTAGGCCATGAACTCAGAATACTGAATGAATACCAATGAAACCTTTGGTTAACTACAGATAGTGTCAGGACACTGCCACAGAACTGCAGCTCTATCATCTGCTCCATGACTCTTAAAATATTTTTTCTTGCCTTTTTAGCCTAGATTAACCAGTAGATCTTCCAAACGATATACAGGCATGCTTCAGGAGTTCGCTTGGTTTCAGAAACTGTTTCAGCCTGGCCGTGACCAATCTGTTCTGGAGTATGAGAACTTAAAATACAGACAAACTCTGGTTGTACTATCTGGCCTAAGGGCAAAAGAACTGGTCATACCACTGTTAAATTTACTAATGCAACAAAGATTACAGATACCAGGCCGCCACAGATTTAAGAGGGATCCCAGTGCTATGTGTATCCATTACCAGCCTATTTGCAGAAATGTTACTGGTGAACAGGTTGTTTCACTTTACATTTTTATGTATGCATAAAGCATAAAAAAGCATATATTTTTGGAGCACAAACAAATGTGGTACACATGCACTCATCTGATGCTAGAGCCAATGAAAGACTGTCAAATCCCGCTGTTAAGGATGAAGGAGACATGCCCTTTTACTCGCAGCATACCATGCATTCTATGGCTGTGAGACTGCACTCTTTAACATGAAGTGACAGGTTCACCAGTCATGGTGAACTCAGTTATGGAGTGTGCTACTGTGAGATGTGTGAGACTTCCATTGGTGAGGAGAAAAAAGCAACCCCAAAACCAACACAGACTCGCTAAAGCTTGTACTTACATTTATTAATACCACTTGAAAACAACATTTGCCAGCATGATGTTCCAGTTTTCTCTAACTCACTTTTCCTGTACATTATTTTCCTTATAGCAGTGGGAAGGTATACTTTCAGCATAGGAAAAAACTACGGAGAATGTGCTGCTTCATATTTTTCTATTTAATTTACTGTGCAACATTCCTCCTGTTCTGCCTATATTAGATACAAATCAATTTCTCACTGGCATACAACATGTATTCAGCATTGCAAAAAGCATGAAATACTTCAAGAATAATTTTCACATATGGAACATTGCAACTTACTTCTCACAACCTGTCCACCATTGTTCACCTTCAGGTTGATCATTGGTGGCTGGGGAAAAAAAACAAAACTGACATAAAACACTACCTACACAGGAAGCTTCTCCAGAAGAAATCCCCAAATCACCTCTAGATGCTACAGGTATAAGGAGTGCTGACAATTCAACAGGTATTACTGTGAAGGTCTGTCACTGGATAGAAGGGATACATGCTCATTAATCTCTACCAGAATTTTCAGCCCTTAATCGCAGAACACTTTCCTCTGCCTTGGAAAGTAGGAACCACCACTGAACTCCCTAATGCTCAAGCAGTGGTCACAACACAGATACCTGTAGAAACTCTACAAATAAGAGCTTCATCTACTCCATGTAACAGCTCACATACAGAAGATGTGTCACTGTTATACAGCATCACAATTATGTATTGTGATACATGACAGGCAGCAGTCTACTCTTGTCAAGACACTGACATGACAAGCCTAAGCAGGTACTTAATTCTACCCCTTGCCCCAACTTAACAAAATGAGTATTTTCAAACTCAGACCCGTTCCAAGTGGAAGAGACCCAAGCTCTCTGGTTCAACCTCCCACTCCAAACAGGAACAGCCATTAGATCAGAGCAGCTTATCAAGGCTGCTATCAAGGGTAAACCAATTGGGTCCTCAAAATTTCAAGGCATGGAGGCTACACCTCTCTGGGCATCCCTTTCCACTGCCTTGTCCAACCTCATAGTGAAAAAAATTCAGGCTACATCAAGTTGCAGCCTTTCCTGCTTTTTTGGTTTCAATTCATGACTATTTTCTTTCAGCCTCCTATTATGCATGGCTGTGGAGCATCTAGCACCAGCTTCTTGTTCACTTCCTCACAAGTACTGAAAGTCTGCTGTGGCTGACATCCTGAGAAAGCTGGCTTATGTCATTGAGAGGTTGCTCTCATGATCTTTGACAATCTGGAGGTCAGCCACAGCTTGGTGAGCTTCACTTCAGGCCCTTGGAAAAATCACAAAGCAAGTTCTCTTGGATGCTATTTCCAGGCACATGAAGGAGAATGTGATTGGGAATAGCCAACATGACTATATTTTGCAACCTGATTACCTCTGGTGACAAAATTACTAGGCATGTGGATTCAAAGCTTTGGATGTTATCTACATGAGCTTTGGCAGGACTTCTGATAGAGTCTTCTGCACTTCTTTCTGTATTCTTTCTGCCCTTCCGAGAGTGCAAACATAGCTGTGCCCATCCCTCCACAAGGTTACTTGTCATCAGTATCAGGACGTCCCTGTCCTTACAGACCTCCATCTCCTTGGCTCCTCCAGCTTTCAAGTTTAAAAATCCCAGCTACCTGTTGGTAGTTGAGCTGGAGTCTGAAGCCTGAATAAGCTAGAATCCAGGTTCTGTACTCTGTTACTAGCCTTTCTCACTACACTCTGGGTCTTGAACTCCAGTATTCCAAGCCAAGGCTGCTAATGATTACCACAACCTCAACTTCTCCATTTATGAGAAGATTCAGGAAAGCATCATGACACATCTAAACACCTATATAAAGGCACTGTCCCATACACCCCTTGTTTCTTACAATCATCATCTCCAACAGTAATGAATTTCCTATTACTAATGTAAAAACTCCTGTAAACTTTTTCATGGCTTTAAGACAATACTACCAAGCAATATTTAGCCCAACAATCAAGTACTAGTAAGAAATAGTAAGAAATTTCCCATTTCCAGTGTAAGAACTAGCGCCAAAAGTAGCCCAAGGTTAATGAAAAATAAGCACCTTTAAGAAGTTCCACAGAATTGAAAGTGGACCCGGTTTTTGTTAGCTATCCCATAACACTACAAAAGGTAGCAGTACAAGCTGCATATAAGACCACCTGAACATCACAGATCTTCAGAGCCTAACAGAATACACATTTGTTGTCTGTTTCTCTCAGACATAGCTATAACAAGCGACTTAATTCGATGAACAAGCCACAGGTAAGAAAACCACCCTTTAGCACTATGACTAACATCACCAGTTTCCTTCTCGGGGCAGCCTGCTACAACGCAGACGAGGGATGGAAGGCCCGCCGGCTAGGCCTGACATACCTTTCCATCACAGTGATCTCCTGGCGGGCAGGCGAGAGGGAGGAACTTCGGGCATGCCCCCAGAGGCTCCCGCGGTGGGATCAAAGCGTTGCCGTTCCGTCCCGCCCTTTCCCCATCCACAGACAGCACCTCCCTTCTCCACCCGCCAAGTACCTCACTCACACGCAGTGTGTCCGGCCGCAGCGGCCTCAGACGCTCCCACTTGGCAGGGCTGGTCATGTTCGCCCGGCCCCTCCTCCTCCTTCCCCGGGCGGGCCGATCGGCCGCGGCCTAGCGCGGCGGGAGCGCTCTCTCACCGAGGCGAGCAGCGACAGACGAAAGCCGCTCAGAGGCCTTCACAGCGAGCCTGCAGCCCCATGTCGCGAGCAGCCACCGCCATCCCCACCCCACCTCGGGGAGGAGAGAGCGACCGGGACCCCCCCCCGCCCTCACCGCAGCTCGCTATGGCCGCCTCACCCCACCTGACACCCCCGTCCCGCTCCCGCCAGAGCACGGTTGGGCGGGAGAGCGGAGCCCCCGCCCCGTTGCCCGCGCACGCGCACAGCCTCCCGCCCGGGCAGCGACGCGAGCCGAGGTGAAGCCGCCGAGCCTTCCCCCACGAGGAGGCGCGGTGGCCGCTCCCCCTTCCCGCCGGCCCTTGCGGCGCGCTCGGGTTTCCCGCCCGTCCCGGCCCCGGGCAGGGGAGGCGCGCACACGTGGGTGTGTGTCGACTTCCCACGGCGGGCGGCCGCGCGGCTCCTCAAGGGACGCTTCCCTGGACGCCGGGAGGAACGTGACCTCTCCGGGTATCTCCTGGACTGGCATTTCCTCCGCTCTTACCGCCTTCCCAGGGCGACGGAGGGGACGATTTGCCCCGGCGAGGGCCGGCCTGAGCACGACGCTGGGCTGGTGTGGGTTGAAACGAGGAAGTTCCCACCGCTATGTTTACTGCGAGGAGAGAGGGTTTTGTTCGCTCCGTGTACACAGTGGTCAAGGAGAGAGCACCCTGCCTGAACAGGTGTGAGAATAATCAGTATTGCTTTCTTGTGAAAGAATCTGATTGTGTCATAACTTTGTAGTGTAAGAAGGTGTCCTGGTTTCAGCTGTAACAGTTAATTTTCTTCTTAGTAGCTGGTGCAGTGCTGTGTTTTGGATTTAGTCAATCCAAATAATGCTAATGACACACATATTTTAGTTGTAGCTCTGTAGCACTTACCCTGATCAAGGACTTTTCAGTCTTCTGCTCTGCCAGTGAGGAGGGGCACGGGAAGCCGGGAAGAAGTCGACACAGGATACCTGACTCAAACTAGCCAATGGGGTATTCCATACCACAGCACGTCATGCCCAGTATGTGAACTGGGGAGGGGTTTTTTGAGGGATTGATCACTGCTGGGGTCTGGGTGGGTATCCGTCAGTGGGTGGAGAGCAATTGTACTGTGCATCACCTGGGTTTTGGTTTGGGTTGTTTGGCTTGGTTTTTTTTTTCCTCCTTTTAGTTTTAAATTCTCTCATTTAGTAGGTATCTAATGCTTGTCAGACAAAACCCTTGCTTTAAAACACAATTCTTCATTAGATAGCTGATCTGTTGATTGATGGCTGTTTACAGCTGTCATGGTTTAAGTCCAGTCAGTAATTTAGAACCATGTAGTCACTTACTCACTCCCCCCCTCCTTCTTCTCCCTCAGTTCCCAAAGGGATGGGGAGGAGAATCAAAAGAATGTAACTCCCACGGATTGAGATAAGAACAGTCCAGTAACTAAGGTATAACACAAACCACTACTGCTACCACCAATAATAACAATGATAAGGGAAATAACAAGGGAAGAGAATACAACTGCTCACCATCCGCTGACCAATACCCAGCCTGACCCAGCAGTGATCTAGCCCTTCCGGATAACTGCCCTCAGTTTATATAGTGGGCATGATGTGCTGTGGTATGGAATACCTCTTTGGCTAGTTTGGGTCAGGTGTCCTGTCCCTGCTTCCTCCCAGCTTCCCCTCCTCCCTGGCAGAGCATGAGACTCAGAAAGTCCGTGGTCAGAGTAAACATTACTGAGCAACAACTAAAACCATTGGTGTTACCATCTCTGTTCCCAGGCTGAAAGTCAAAAGCACAGCACTGCACCAGCTACTAAGAAGGAGAAAAATGACTGTACTGCTGAACCCAGGACAACAGGGATTAACTGCCCTCTACCATATTGTACATCAGATAAATTTGCCATGGAATTCTTTTGCTTAAAGAATTTGTGAACTGTTTTGCTTATCCCACCTACCCCTTCAGTGAAATTCCCAGTCACTTCCCTGTCCTCAGGGCAGGTGCTCTGGAGAAATGTGAAACTCATTGGACATCGTGTAAAACTGCCAGTCTAGTGTGAGGAATGCAAAACCATGAAGAACTTCATTCGTCTTCTAATATGCCAGACTGGACATGTCAAATAACACTCTTGAAAAAATTCAGTTTAAACTACTGTTTCTGACCCCTTCAGATTAGACATTCGTTTGGGGTAGTTTACGTTACCACTGATCCACCAAATGTCTTGATAGAGAATGGAGTTTTCTTCTTAGTAACCAATTTTCAGGCAACTACTTGCATGGTAATAGTTGTCCTTGAAGAGGTGTGTGGAACAAAGGTGGGTTGCTCTCATGCTCTAATAAATTTATAAGGAAAAAAAAAAGGGAAAAAAATATGTTACTGCTGCTCAAAAGTGTGATGCCTGTTTCAGGAGACATGAAGCTTTCAGTTGTGTAATGAAAAGCAACATGCAAATTTTGATTGTCAGTATTCTATTGAGAGTTTAGACTGCTGCAAATGCAGAAGGTTTTCCTGTCATGGAAACAACACATCACTGAAAAATGCTAATTTTTATATAGGCAGCATGATCCTTGCTAACTCTTCTGTGGTGATAAGCATAGTCCCATAAAGAACTAATATTTCTCTCCCTTTGTTATACTCTTAATGTATGTTACCACTGTAATCGCAGTTTGTTTAAAACCACCGTGATAAAGGTGTTTGGTTTTTTTTTTCCCAGCTGGAACAGCAGAATGGTTTAGAATAGGCTGCTTTAGTTTTGGGTGATGTAAGGAGTGTGCCATACAGTATAGAAATCATTGAATAGGGTTTTGATAATTGTTGGGTAGTCAGATATTAGGAAGGAGGCTAACAACTTGCAATTTGAGGATCAGGATACGTAAGTTTCTGTATTAACCCATGTGGAAAACATTGCATCAACTTTTAACTATGTTGTTGTTCCAGCCAGTCGTAAGATCAAATTCTGTTGTTCCTCTGCTTCTCTGTCCTTGGCTGCTGAATATCTGAGTGAAGAAAAACCTCACATGAATGCAGATTCAGGATTTTTTTTCTATATTTACATGAAAATTATAAAGCCTAATTATTCATTTAAATGAAAATTAGATTTTGGAGTAACTGACCAGACTATTAGGAGTTTTGGCTGTGGGATTCTGTTGATCAGAACGTTTTATTTTAGTGTGTTATTATTTACATTTTATAAAGCTGATAATTGAATTTATCCTACAGTCTTTATTACTCTTGTAGATAAAAATGTAAATTATCCCCATTTACTGGTATCTTATTGCATATTAAACTGGTTTTGCATGCTTTTTAATATCCCCAGACTTTGATTGTCCAAGACATGATTCTTAAAATGAAAGATTTGCTTATTTATCTGAAATTGTTCTTCGATTGCTTTGATTTTTAATCTGCCACCAGGGGGCAATAATTCCATTTCCTAAATCTGATCTTTTAACATTAAGACATACTAGAAAAGTGGTTTCATTACAATTTTTGAGGGACTATATACGAAAGTCGAAACATAAAAACATAACTTCCTTGAAAATGCTGTACTTGTGTAATTTAGTATTTTACTCTGCACTACTTAGGCATGTAGGTTTTACTTTTATTTTGAGCACCTGAAATTAGACTGCTTTGTAAGAATTCTTACTGATGAACCTCATGTAGTACAGTTGTGGTGCAAGGTTTGGGTTTCATGTAAAATAGGATTTTTTGTGTTCTTCATATTGCCACTGTAATATTAAAAAAAACCACCCTGTTTTGAAAGCCGTTACTTTCTTATTCTTCTTTTGTTTGTTTTTACACTTATGTCCTGTTAATATTTACTAGCCTATATATGTAATCCTGAATTTGGAATTCTGTCACCTGATGGGTGCCTTTATATTCTTATATGATATGTATCTTTTTATTTATGTACATAGTAGTTCCAGCATACTGCAGTTAAAGCCAAGGCTGCCTTCTGTACGATTCTGTATCAAATACAATCTTCCCTTTAATGGTAATAATCTTGTAACTGGATCTTCCATTAGGCGCATGCATATTATTGAAAAGATGAGCCAGAGGAAATACCTTCCTTCAAAGGTACAAAAATACAAAATTATGGAAGACAAAAATAGCTTTATCTGTTTAAACCATATATCCATATTTTTGTATATTAATCTGTCTATATAAACTTCCTAGGCTCAGTGAGGTCCTACTTAGGTCCTACTAAAGTCCTCAGCACTGCATAACAATTGGGCATAAAGGTGTAGAACATCGCTATGTAATTTTTTATGCTGCAAAATGTAATGATTTAAATCTTTTTCTGGTAATAGTACAGTCTTTCTTGATGTGCTCTGCTTAACTTGACTAAAACAATTGTGCCAATGTACATGGTGAGTAGTCATCCATTAATTTAAGAAGGCAAATCTTATTTCTTTACTTTGTCATGTCAGTATGAGGAAGATCAAGTCATTTATTCAGATCTGAACAGCACAGTCCTAAACAGCATTCTTTTTTGTAGTGTCCTGAATGATACACCTGAAGTAAGATTAAAAATCATGGATGTATGTATCATGTTGGAGGCATAGGTTTTAGGACACGATATAAACTGAAGCTCCCACTTTTTGTAATCCAGAAAAGAAATTATATAGATGGAAAATGTATCCTCTAAGGTGAACCTAGGGTAATGAAAATAGCAAGCACTTGCTGCATATGAACACTACTGTCTTTTATTGAAAAGGTTTGCTGAATGTTATGTTCTTAATAAGGTTTTGAAATTTGGCAGTAAGCCATCTCCCATCTGAAAGACTCTAAGGGTTTCTAGGCAAAGGTCTTCACAGAGCTTGCTTGAAAATCTCATCCACACTAAGGAGTCTATAAACAGAGTAAGATTTCTGTTGCAGCAGGGAATGAATATTTTTGTTTTATCTTTGCAGTTACAGAGGAGGAGCAAAATTGCCTGGTATATTTCAGCTTTAAATGTATGGAAAAGCTGAAGTACGTCCTCATAAGGTGGTTATCTTTATGTGTTGAGTTTCAAAGCATTTTTGAAACATTATTTTTCACTTTTTATGAAGATTCCTCCACTACAGTTTTTTTTAATTTAATAATTTTTTTATTATTTTAATATTAAATATAATATGAAAAATTTCTATAGCACCTACTTGAAATGAGAGTATCTTGCTCTTATGAGTGCACTGAGGCTTATATTCTAGCACATTCTATGATTCTATGATTCTACATTCAGTGATACTGGGGTTGTCTCTATGCGCAT